CTTGAAAGGCTATATCCCATATGGACTATGAAGGCTGCAGGTTGGAGAATATGAGAAGTCGAAAGAGTTTGAAGTTGAACTTTGAAGAGTTACAGAATTAAGAGTTTTTTAGAATATTAAAGGAAGGATTGGATAGGAAAGTCATAAGATGATGGGACACTGGGACCTTTTTTGCTTTTAGAAGATGATGAGCCAAGAGAATTAACCAATTAGGGAGAATTAGCTAATTATTAGGGATTTAGGTGGGATTGAGATTTGAGAATTGAGAAATAAAATAAATAAATAATAAATTAAAAAATTTTTAATTACAAATGGGTAAACAAGTTAAGCCTGATGCCTGAGTGGATCACCTTGTTATTAACCCGTAACTCATTAAGTTCTCTTAACAAGTCATTAACGAGTTACTGGTTATAAATGTCTGACCCTAACTCGTTTTAAACGTGCAACTAATGGGCAAGTTAGCAAGCGAGCTAAAAATTGCCAAGTCTATCCCCATTTGATTCTTTAAGGGTTTTTTTTTACATATTTTCACATCTTGATGCTAAAGCAAAAGGATGTTAAAAATAGTATTTTTAACTTTTATTTTTCCTAACATAATTTTCAACTAATAAAATTTTCTTCTCACACTTTTTAAAAGAAAAAGGTTTTCCCTTAACTTCTCCTATATAAGACCCACTTAATAACTTTCTTACCAACTTTACCTTTTTTAATTTCTTACCAAACATAAAAAATTTAAACACCTAATAACTTTTGATAAAATATTTTTTTCAACTACCTTTTTAATAAAAACTTTTTTTTCTTGTAAAATTTGTCTCTAACCAAATGAGGGAAGGCACAACTACACAAGAAACCTAAAAATATATGAAAGGGTTTTAAGTTTTTCAAGACAATACTATAATTATAATATTATATAAAATTATAAATTTATAATTATAAATTTACATTAAATGAGTATAACATGTCAACAAATGAATAGATGTCTATATAATATCATGAGTAGACTTTTAAATGAAAAAAGTCAATTATATAATGACATGTTATGTTATAAATTTATAATACTATGTAGTATTGTAAGTATAACATTGTATGACATTTTCATTTTCAAAAACTTATTTCAATTTTTGTATGATTTATTTTTTAAAGTTTTAAATGTCAATTTTAGTCCCTTAATTTTAAAGTTTTACACAATTTTTATCACTCAATTATTTACATATTTTTTGTCTTTCAACTTAAAAAAAAAAGTGTTGTTTTATCTTTCTATCAGTTAATTTGTTAAGTTATTCAATTATGCATATTTTTAGTTCTTAACATCTAATATATGTACACTTTTAATCTTTAAAATTGTAAGTTTAAGAACTAAAAATGTATATTAAGGCAAACTTAACAAACTAATTGATAAAAGGAGAAAAAAATGCATATTTTAGAATGGAGGGACAAAAAAAAAAGTGCATAAATAGTTTAAGGACGAAAATTGTACAACACTCTAAAGTTAAATGACCAAAATTGAAATTAAACCTTTTTTAAAAATAGAAAAACAAGTAGTCACGTGACGATAAAACCGAAGAGGCGAATATGCCCTAATTCCCTCCCACCGATTCTCAACACCCGTAGTCAACAACAACCAAGCGGTTTAAATCAACGGCCAGAAAAATCGAATATTTTCTCTACAGAAAAACTACGGCTCTGATCACCCCTCGAATAATCACATTTATTAATTATGTTTTTCCATTTTCTTATTTTTATTTGATTTCTTTCCCTGCCCTTCGCGAACATTCCAAAACCTCAAAAACAGCTGCGAATCCTCCTCTCTCTCTGTTTGGTTCGTTTCATTTTCTCGGAAAAATCATGGTGAAGGGTCCAGGTCTCTACTCCGATATTGGGAAGAAAGCCAGAGGTTGTTTTTCATCTTCATTTTCTCGGCAACAAAATTTTTCTTTATCGTTTTTGAAATTCATCTCTGTTTCATCTTCTCTGTGTTTTTTTTTTTTTTTTTTTTTTGGTTCAGATCTTCTTTACAAGGATTACCAGACTGACCACAAGTTCAGTGTCACCACCTACACTTCCAATGGAGTTGTGAGTCTTTTTTCTTTTTCTTTTCTTTTCTTTTTTTTTTTCTGATGCTTCAGTGTTGATTTTCTAGCAAAATTTAGTCATTTTTATGCTATTTGTTTCCTTTTTTTTTCTTTTTTTTTTTTAGTTTTGTTTGGTTCACTAGAAAATGTCCAAAGAAGAAAGAAACTAGGATGCTGAAATATGTATGGTTTGGAAGTGGTTGCATGTGTTCCAATTGTCTATGTTTTTTCAAAATAAATCTTAGAAATTGTTACTTGTTGTATTTCTTTTATGTTCAAGTAAATTATTTGTTTTGCATTTACTATTAATTGCTTGTATGATACCCTGCCAAACAAGGATGAAACAAGCATTTAAAAATAATTGTTTTTTTTTTAAGATTAGTAATGCCTAGATCCTGTTTTGGAGTAAATCTTTTGTAATTTAAACTGAATTAATGGAATAGGTACTTTGCATCCTGTCCTGTATTTGCTGTTTCTTTATTGAGTTTACATTCTACTTTGGCATCCATGTATTTGACTGGGCTAAACCGCTCGTAAGTTACATTTAGTTTCAGTTTACACCTTGCATCCTGGATCTTCAGCACTCATGCGTAGAATGGTATAGCCAACTGACCATCTTGTTGTAATTCTTGTTAGTGAAGGCTAGTATGTTTAATAAATTATGCTCTTCATGTGGTGGGCATTGTTCATTGTACAATTTAATGAACAATTTAATTGCTTACTCGGTGATTTTTAGAGAGGGTGTACTGCAACAAATTATGTTTAGGTGGATCTTTTACTATTGCGGTTCTCCATCATAACAATGAAAGATTGACACACTGTCTTGTGTAAAACTAATGATATGAAGTATGGACATGTGATTTAGCTTGTCTTTTATTTGCACTTTATATTTTCCTTGTTTTAAATTGTGTAATTGATTCGGTAATTATAATGTGTGATCCTTGTATTTTGTTATATTTCTCAATTCTCATTCAGGTGTCTTGGTTACTTCTGTTATCTATTCATCAAGTTAACTTTTTTACCTCTTATTTTGATTTACATATCAGGCAATCACTTCAACTGGGGTTAAGAAAGGTGAGCTGTTTTTGGCAGATGTGAGCACTAAGCTGAAGAACAAGAATATCACAACTGATGTGAAAGTTGATACTAATTCCAACGTAAGTTGTAAACAAATGGTTTTTGATACATTTAGTTTTCTTTTTCTTAGCTAATAATCATCAATACAATGATCTCAAGAACTTTATAAATCATGACATTTTTCTTATTCATTTCAACTGCATGCAATCATTAGTATTATTTTAAGTTTTACTGAATTCAAGGTCAGATCATGATAGTCTGATCATAATGTTTTCATTTATTAATTGACGTTATTTTTGTGTTCATATAGCTTCTTACAACTATTACCATTGATGAACCTGCACCTGGACTGAAGATGATATTTAGCTTTATTGTCCCCGATCAGAGATCTGGGAAGGTCAGAAAGGCTTCTTTGCCTTGATCATTTAAGTTTATAATGCTAATAATGGTTTTCTCTACATTATGGGTTGATTATTGAAAAGTTACATCGTTGCTCAGCTACTGCAAAGTTATGGTTTTCATAGGTCATAATATCCTCAATTATTTTTGCAACAGTTGGAACTGCAATACCAGCATGAATATTCTGGAATAAGCACTAGCATTGGATTGACAGCAAATCCGATTGTTAATTTCTCTGGTGTGGTGGGAAACAATGTTCTATCTCTTGGAACTGATCTCTCATTTGACACTGCAACTGGAAACTTCAACAAATGCAATGCGGGCCTTAGTTTCACCCATGCTGACCTCATTGCTTCCCTGAATTTGTAAGTACTTTTTTCTGAAGTGAAAGGATTTGTTGTAGGTCTTCATTTGTTTTGTTGCGCAGTTGTATTCTTTCTTGGAAACAATTGCTTAAAATGATTTTAGCTAAAGTTCTTAAGAATTATTTGCTTGACCATTTTCATATGTGCAATTTTATATGATTATATTTTTTTATGTATTTTTGTCTTAAACTGTAGGAATGATAAAGGTGACACTCTTAGTGCGTCCTACTATCACATTGTCAGCCCATTGACTAATACAGCTGTGGGAGCAGAGCTGAGTCATAACTTTTCAAACAATGAAAACTCTCTGACAATTGGAACGCAGCATGCTCTTGACCCCTTGACCACAGTCAAGGCTCGGGTGAACAACTATGGAAGAGCAAGTGCTCTCATTCAGCATGAGTGGAGTCGAAAATCTCTCTTCACCATATCAGGAGAGGTGGACACCAGAGCAATCGAGAAGAGTGCTAAGATTGGATTGGCCTTGGCACTCAAGCCATAGGCTGAGTTACTATTCTTGTATGAGCGAAAGGCAAACCTTCATTTTGAATAGGGGCCTAGCTAAACTTCCACGAAATGGCCACGGATTCCAAATAATTACTGGTAAACTGATATTAGTTATTTCTTTTGTTCAATTTCCAGTGAAGGGCATGGTAATACAGTTTTGTTGAACTAGTTATGATGTCTTTGATCTATGAACCATGTATTATGGTTTAAAGGGTTAGTTAATGCTGGCTTCCCTGCGTAATAATTTCCTTGTTTCACCAAAACAATTTGTTATTGTTTTCAGATTCGTTGTTATGGAGATGAATTCTATTTTGAGGGGTTCCTGATGGATTGGATTTGAGTCTGGTTTCCTTTCTAGTTCCACACAGCTTGGATTGATAGGGATGCAGTGTTATTTGAATATGCAGGACAATTACTGATTCGAGGTTGGCTTGTCTAATTATGGAGAAATGCATTAAAATCTTATCTCCAAGTTCCTGAAATAGGGTTTATTTTTTTTTTTTCTTTTTGGGTCGGCAAGAAGTGTTTGGAATGTAGATTTTTAGTAATAGCTGCATCAGTTCGATTGCTATTAATTGTGCATGCACCGGATCGCTCTGCTGATTCGGTAGAACATTGCCTCAGAATGCACCATTTTATTTTATGGGCCAAGGATTAATGATGGTCCTAGACTCCTAGGTGATAAGAGGCAGTAACTAAATTACCCCCTGCCTAATTTTAGGTAAAGGATCAAGGGGGTTTTAGAAAAAAAAGAAGCAAAACCTTAGAATCTCCTGCATAATGCAAAAATGAAGCAAAATCGACTTTCTAGGTATCTCCAGTTCCATTTTAGGCACAGGGGACATGGTATGTTGTTTCAATCCAATTATGAAAAAACCCTTTAAAGGCTTTAGTTTGATCCTAAGCCTAGATATTTAATCGCTTTATGGTGGTACCCCAATTTAGTTTTGAAGGAGATCCGAGAAACCATCCCAAGAATTTCATACCAGAAGAAACACAAAGAATACGAGGACCAGCAAAGCCTCGGATGTCCCCCAGAACTGCCTGCCAACCTTCATTTCAAGAAAATTCAAAGGAGTCCAAGACCATCCTCCGAGCATTTCAGACATGGAAATGGAATGAGAAGCTTGCCTTTATACCACTCTACCAGCAAATATTCATTCCATTCAACATTACTAGAGCGGCAATTCTTTAATCGAATTAATGATATTATTCAATAGGCACCTGCATAAAGTATACCCGAGAATTTACCATTATATGGTAACCTACAGCAAAAACTTCCATTTCCGCTGCCTAGGGGCCCTAAACTGATCTGAGCCCCCTGAGCCTCTCAACAGCTAAAAGGTACAGGCAGCCGGAAAGATTACTTTGAACTTATAATACAACAGAATCAAATTCACTCACCAGAAAGAGAATTGCATGCAGTAAAAAGGGAAAATGTAATGAAATCATTGGATTCAACACACTACACTTTCTCAACATTTACTGACAATGGTAACCCCAAACCAAACACAGCGCATAATATTTAACAAGTAAAAGGAAAAAATCATGAAATCATGGTTTCTCAAACATTTACCAACAATGGTTAACCCAAACCAAGCACAGCACTTAATATTAACAAGTGTGAAAAATCCTCACCATTATTTACTATAGTCACACTTAACATTTCTCTGCCATATAAGGGACCAAGCAAGCAACAAAACTAGGTCTGAAGAAAATATTGACTTCATATATCAATTTATACTGTGCTGCCGGATGATTTTTGACATCTGAGTCATATTGTCTCTTACAGCACCTGGTGCCAGATGATTTTACTACTGAGTCACATTGGCCTGAAGAAGACCATTCCTGATCTGAGAAGCAATGTCTCTTACAGCACCTGGTCCATGTGGGATGAAAACAGAGTTGGACTTTGAAGATGCACCAATCTCCTTCATTGTATCAAAGTACTGAGTCACGAGAACCATGTCCATGACATCCTTTGATGATGTCCCAGGTACATTCTCAGAGAAGGCTAACACACTGTCCCTCAGTCCATCTACAATGGCCTGGCGCTGCCTGGCTATCCCAAGCCCAGCCAGATACTTTGACTCTGCATCTCCTTCAGCTCTCTTAATTTGCAATATCTTCTCTGCCTCGGCTTTCTCATTTGCAGCCACCCTCAGTCTAGCAGCTAGTTATTCCAATTATGTAAACATAATATATCAAACATGTGCACAAACCAATAGCTCAAAGAAGTTTAACTATTTAAGCAGAATGTATCTGGTGCATGCCTGCTCAAGCAAGACCTTGAATCTTTTAAAACCTTAGTACTAGCCATAATGCAATGGGTAACCAATATAATAGGGTCAAATTCTCAAGAAAACGAGCCAAAGTAACAAAATATACCAGTTCACAAAGATTCACATGTCATACCTGCATTAATCTCATTCATAGCTCTCTTCACATGTTCATCTGGTTCAATATCCACAATTAAAGTCTGGACTATCTCAAACCCATAATGTGACATGGCCTATAAATCCATGAAATTTGTTAGCTCAAACATAAGTGTTTAGTCCTAAAACATATGAAGCAGACAGAAAGATACCTTTTCAAGTTCCTCTTCCACTGCTTTTGCAATATCATTCTTCTGTTCAAATACTGAATCCAACTCCAACTTTGGAACACTTGCCCGAATAACTAAACAGAAATAAAGTCCTGTTAGTTCCTCATAGGAACTGTGATATAGAAACAAGTACATTCAACCAGGGGTCAAACAAACTACAAACTCAAATTGTTGATGGTTCAAAGAACCAAATAATCCTTCAGATTACCCTAAACCTTCAAATTCAAAAGATCAAACAAAGACACTTCTGTCACTTTAGATGCAAAAGACTCTTTGAAAGGTCAAAGGAAACACTTCCGCAAAAGCAGAGAGGAAATACTGATTGAACAATAGTTCAGAGCCAGAAATATTTGTAGCTAGGGATCTTTATTCATGATCCTCCATTGCATTCATCAGACAGCAAACCCATCATAAGAAGCACTTCTCAGTCTCAGGAGCCACTCTAAATTTCCAAACCAAACAAAGCATACTATAAATATTGAACTTTAGATGGCTCTCTTTTCTAAGTATCCCCAAAACCATAAATAATATCATTTCTAAAGTTTTTTTGTTGTTGAAAGGAGGTGGCGTGTTAACTAACTGAAAAGCACCTTGCTGGGGAAAACGTATGTTAATTAGAGAGGAAAGAAGTTTCAACAGTTCAATAGATGGCTAGAAGTGCGAGCAAAAGTTCCAGAGCTTAAGTTAGAGATTGTTATCATCATAGACACAGAAGCATAAGTAACATATAAAAGATCTAGTTTCTTAATTAATATGAGCTAAAGTTAACATCCATACCATCAAAGACATAGGCTTGGATCTGAGCTCTTGTATTGCTGAGCTTATAAAAAGCATCTGAGGCCTTTTCTGCTAAGGCTCTATATTGAATTGAAGCAACCACATTAACAAACACATTATCCTGAACAAATTAAAACATATCAGAATCTGCAAAAATAAGTTCCACAGCCATGTACATAGAAAAAAAGCTCCAGAAAATAATTTTTTATGATTGAATTTTAATTTCTCAACCAAAATCATGGTAGCAGCGTTAACGATAGTTAGAATTCTTTTATTGGAAGATCATTATATTTTGACCTTGATATATGTTCTCACACAATAATAGATATTTCCAAAAGTAATTATTAGAAATTAATTTCAAAAATATGCTTTTACCGTAGCAAGCAATTTTGCAACAAACCTTGGTTTTTGTTTCACATCGAACATCCAGCTGCTGCACACGCAAGGATAGGACACCAGCTAATTGTCTTCCAAAACACCATGGTAAACAATGGCAACCAGGCTCAAGCACATCTTCGAACTTCCCAAAAGTTTCTGTGACAGCTACTGTTGATTGGTCTACTTGAAGACAACCCAAAGCTTGCCCCATCTTCTAATCATAAAATTATTGCAACAATTGAAAATATATATACAGCTCAGTATGAGTTAAAATTCAAAAAGCAGCATAATACATTATTCTTTTCACCTAAATTCGTTGTCCTAATCATGTCAAGAGAATATGGCTTACTTTCCAGCAGTGGGAATCAGCCATAGTCCATGAAGCATCTTTAAAATGCATTCTTGACACAATCCCATTAAATCAAATGAATTTAAAAAGTAACCCAATAAAACAAATTTTTACTAATGTTTCAAGCAAATAGAAAAAGGTATTTCTTTAGAGAAAAAAGAAAAAAAGAGGGAGTAAAAGAACCCATTTTAATACATGTATTATACGTTTGAAAAACTGTTGTGCAGTCTGGACTGCACTGCACAACAGAGACCATTGAATGAAGGCTGTACGCACTGATATTGGGGGCCCTCCCCCATCCAACCACCACTGTTTTATAGTCCAGACCACAAAATAGGAAACTCTTATTAGTTTACTTCCTGGCTTTCATAGTTCTAAAGAGACCAATATGTCTACATAAATAAATTGAAACAAGAAAAGCCAAAAGAAAAATAAAAAGGAAAAAAGAGCAAATATCTGATTCCTCCACCTTACCGTGACGTGTGGGAGGCTAAAAGATAAGAAGCAAGCAACTAAACCGCCATTCAACCCACCTAAATATCACAATCCTAATCATACAGATGCACAGTTTTTCAACGCCAAACAGTCAAGTCAAGTAAACAATTATTTTTCTCTTACAAAAGACAGCAAGTGCGTGGTTATTGCCCCACAATCTTTAGTTAACTCCACACAAAATTTTTATTTGACTATCAAGAACATTTGATAAAGATTTAACAAAGTGAATATAGTTTAAAAACTGATGTTTATAAACACCATAAGTAGCCGTCTTTTTTTTCAAGAAAAAATTATAAATTAATAAAACTAATCAAATCAAATACAACCATTATCCTATTTGCGTGGCCATTACAAAAGGCCGTGTGGCAATAACCAAGCCCCTAGAGCAACCCTATCCAAAAAGTAATACCGTATCCCAATGACACAAAGCAAATCCGCACTGAAATCAGGATCTGAAGTACGAAGCATGATTTTAACGCAATTCACTCATATTCGGCTCCAACTCAATTATATACACACAAACGAACAGTGGGAGAACCACGCCTCCAAAGCTAGCTGTGTTAAGGTAGGAGAGCCCAAGGCCATATCAAACCCACACCAGAATCCCATACTTCCGATGTGGAATTCAAGTTACTCATTCATAGATACAGAGAAAGACTTGAAACAAATGTAAATTGAAATCTGGATTACAACCAAGCAAAACAAAATTCAATTATAAACGCATCTACAAATTCAAGACATGGAATTACGCCTTGAAAAAAAAGCCAAACAGGAAAAGAAAATCACAAATATGAAACAAGATAAACCCTAATTTCCCTTCCTGTTTCCTGATAATTCAAAATAACGCAATCGGGTGCGCGAAACCACAAAGAAAACAACGAAATTTCTCAAGAAAAACGCAGCTAGGATCACCAGACTGTAGTGAATTGAAAGGGAAATAAGAGATCGAGAAACAAACATGAAAAGGAAAAAAAAAAAAAAAAGAGAAAATGAAGAATTGTTTCCGTACCAGTTGAAACCTTCAAATTCGAGGAGGGGGCAAAATACTGTACGGGTTGAGACACGAAATTCACGATATATAATGAGTGGGCGCGCCCGGCGTTTACCTTATCTTTGGCGATTCCGACGGCGCTGAATCAGCCTCGAGGGTTGGCGATTGTTTTCAGTGGTTGGGACCGTTGGGTACCACTACCAGCTATACCGATAGCGGATAGGTTAAAATACCAAACTTAGTCTCTCAACTTTTAGATTTGTACTAAAGATATCCTTGAACTTTAAACAGTATTTAAAATATCCCTGAACTACAATTTTTTATACCAATTTTGTCCTTCCATTAGTTAATTGCTGATGTGGTACATTTTTCGTCAAAAAATTCAACTCTTTTACTTTCCAAATGTTAGGTGGAATTTCTCTAGAGTGATGTGGCAATTTTAATATTAAAAAATATATATATTCCTTCTCCCTCCTTTATACCAGCAGAATTATTCTTCTCAAACAAATGTTTCTCTACTATTGAAGCAAAAAATCATGTTTGAAACCTAGATTTGAGATCTTCTTGACTCGTTCAATGGTAATGGCTCATCGTCTAGCACATCTTCTAGTTTTTGCTCACTTGCCAAAGCATACTTGAAACCCAAGTTTTTAAAAGCACTTTCTAATTTAATATCCATATGGGATCCCATATGTGTTAGAAACCCAAAAATCATACTTGAAACCCAAAATTTTGAAGTTTTTTTCTAATTTAATATCCAAATTACACCAATTAATTGCAAATAAAATATACAATTTCACATCCAATTTTAACATCAAAATATCAAATCATAGGAAACAAAAAATCTAAACAATGGAGACCAAATTTTGGGTTTAGATTTTCTAAATCATGAAAAAATTGTGGTACATCTTGGACCTGGAATACTCCTAACGCTGTGGATGAGATCTAGGTTTCAGCTCATTGCAACAGTTCAAAGTGACTCCACTTGCTCAAGCACCACCGACTGAATCCCAAGCTTGGTCATAACAAAATTGAGTAACTAATCAAAGCAATTCATGAATTAGAGCACTGAAAATGTACTACTTTTTAGGGATTTACCTATGAGGGAACACTATAGTGGCAAGGCCAACAATCCTTGCTCTAACAATGACAATATCTTCCTTCTGCACACCAACTTCGACTCTGGAAAAGAAACCACCCTTTCATGGCAACCAAACACAGCAAAAAGGAAAAAGAAAGCAAAAAACCTTAGCTTGTACAGAAACAACCCAGATTCGGATTCTTGCGATCAACATCAAAAGGCTCAAATCTTTGTAATCCTTAGCCTTCATTAATGTTTGCCTCAATTGACTATGTCCATCGTCAATCCATGACTCTCATGGAAAATGGTTTTTCTTAGAGAACCCAAAATTGGGTTCTTTCTTAGAGAGAGAACCTAGATCCTTTTTCAGGGGAGAACCCACACAGATTTGGAAGGGGAAAAAGGAGGAAGAAGAAGGGAGGAGAGAGAGAGAAGAAGAAAAAGGTAGAAGAAGGAGGGAAGAGGAGGAAGAAGGCTGGGAAAGAGGAAGAGGCAAAGGCAAAGGCAAAGGCAAATGGATGAGAGAGAAGATGAATAATATAATTTATAAATTATGTAGGTCCCTTATTTACCTACGTAAGAGTGAAAAATACCACGTGGAAAAGGAAAAAAAGCCATCTCATCACCTTTTGCATGCTTTGTTTTCCACATTATCACTTATTTTTTAAAAAATGTAATTTTATGGCATTCTAATATCTCGTCTGTCTCTTTTATTGATGGAAGAACAAATTTGATACTAAAAAATTAAGTTTAAGGATATTTTTGGTGTTTTATGAAGTTTAAGGATAATTTTGATATAAATTTAAAAATTGAGAGATTAAATTTGTATTTTAAGTGTTCAATTTTAGTGCTTTGATAAAAATTTCAAAAAAGTGTTTTACCTGTTGTGAATGGTAAAATACTGACCGTCAATAAGTGGACTTGTAATATTGGGAATTTTTTTATTTAATAATATGCTTAAATTGAGTGGAAGGGAAGGAAGAGGAGCAGGAGGAAAGATTTTTTCATTAATTAAATTATAATATTTAAAAATACATTACCATTTGATTAGTTAATAAATTTTCTACTTTTGTTTTTTTTTTTTTTAACCCAAACACAAGGCAAAAATCTCTATTTTATAAGTTAAAATTATTCAAATGGAAAATCAGTGCTCCCAAAAGATATTTACTAGCTATCACAACACTATTACACCTAGACTTAAAGGTTAATTGATTATAAATAAACCTTAAGAAAAGTACATCCGCAACCATAAGCATTAGGGTCAAATCTCCCCTCCCTAAATTTGTACCTGTTCAAAAAAAATATATTATTTGTGTTTGGTTCGGTTTCTAGCAACCATTAGGAATTAAATCCTATATTTGTGGTTTCATCATATTACGTAGTTGATAGTAGTAATAATTAAAAGTTATAGCTACTAGTTAATACCAATAAGAGTTTAATTAAGTTAATACCTAATAATATAAAAATCTTAATTTAGATTGAAAATCAAAAGCTAAAATCTCTGAAATGTCAAATAGCTACCTCTTCAATATAAAAAAATGACTGCTAGTTAATAATTAATAAAATTATTGATATTAGTTTGAAATTATCTTAATTTTTACTGTTAGGTAATTTTGCACTTTAAGTTCATGGTTGAAGTTTTAGGATCAATATTTAAGAAAATTAATTTTTTAAATACATTAAACCAATATAAAAGATGCATTTTTAAAATCATCACTAAAAAAAATAGAGATTAGTTTTAGAGTGCTTAAAATTTGGTCTAAAAACATGTTAACTTTAATTTTTTTTTTTTAAATCCCAATTTCATGTACAAAGGACAAACCCTTTATTTTTTAATAAAGTTGGGGCATGTTGCTATTTATATATTAATAAATTATTGATAGAGTAATAATAGAGAAGATGAAAATTTAATATAAAAGTTTAGAATTAATGATGTAGTATAAATTATATTATTAAATTAATTGACACATATAATATTATAGTTGTTAAAAAAATAAAAAATTAATTATTAAATAATATAAATTTATTTATTAATATTTTAAATGACATATTTATATTACATCATTAATCTTAACTTTTAATTGCATTTATCATTATTCTCATTGCTAATTTTAACCCATCAATGCACCGAGCCTTTCGGGTCAAGTGGCAAAAACCACTCACGGTGCATTCCCCCTTCCCTAGGGCTGGGGTTCGAACCTAACCCCTTGTAAAATCTATTCAAAAAAAAAAAAAAAATTTAACCCATCAATAGTAATAGATAATAACTACAAAAGTGGACTTTTTTAAGTCAATGGACTAAAAATAAACTTCTTTTAAAATAAAGGGACCAAGAAAGAATTTTAACCCTTACTTTATCAGGGACAGAGCTAGTTCTTCTTTCTTTGAATTGTAATGTGAAACGTTTTTTTATAGTAATAATAAAGTTAGTTTAACCAGCAAGGCACCGCCATAAACAACAAAATTGAAAGTTAGGAAAATCATGGACACTTCCTTTTCAATTTTCCCAGTTTGATATGTAAAAATTCAAAGAAACGTGTGGACGCATTTCTATTTTTCCGTGGGCCTATCGGTTTTGCCTTCACATACAATTTTCTTTGCCTTCACTTTCATATCACGAATATGGTGATGCCCACGTAAAAATATTATAGAGACTCAAATTTCATAATATTTGTTTAGAAGATATTAATTTTATTTTTTTTTTGATAGTTAATAATGATTAATAATTTTAATTATTAATCAATAATTAATAAAATAATTGATATTTATCATTTAATAAATTAAAATTAGTTTACAAATTGACATTTACAAAACACTAAATAAGACCAAAAAAATTAAATTTGTGCTGCCTTGATAATTTTGTGTTTGACAATTCAAGCAAAGTTTGACAAAACTTAGTAGATTATTCTCTTATAAATATAAAATTTTATTAGAAATAAAATTAAAATATTATTTAAAAATTTATTAGAGATAAATTTTAAATTTACTTTTTAAGGTGACTTTTAAATAAGTTTTGAAAAAAGCTAAGATATACTTTTTTTGTCTAAAAATAATAAATATTTCTTGATTTTATCTTTGAATTAAAAATTTAAAGATAATTTTTATTTTTACCTATTTTATAGTTGAAAAAATAAATAAATAAAAAGTTTTTTCTTTTAAGATAAATAACTATTTTTGTTAATAGGCCACCAGCCTGGCCTTGTTCTCCTTGGACCGATTAGTACATTTAGGTGCTAAAGAGGTTTTCTATTTTTTTTTTATCAGCAATATTTTATTTTATTTTTTATTTATAAGGTTAGGGTTTGTCTATTTTACTTTCAAAAAATTAAAAGAAAAAAATAAAAAACACCTTAATGCATACTTTAAAAATAGGATAGTTTAATTTTTTTCAATAAATATTTATTGAATTTTGAGATGATTTTTTTCTTAATATTTAAGAAGTAAAACTGATAGACACTATTTTATTTATTTATTATCATTATAATAGAGTACCAGGCCCATTCCAACTAAAAGAGGTTTGTTCTACATGGGTTAGACCAACCACTTCCGGGTTTGCTTATCTGGTACTCATAGGCTCAGCGGTATGAGCCACATAAAGCATAACTTCCATCTGGGTATTATGCCCCGAAGATTTGCCACCATATTCCCACCATTAACTGGGGTTAAAGCCAAACTCTTATCAGATCTGACTTGAGATCCCAAGATCCCAACAAATCCTCTAATTATGTCATTTGGTTTCGGGTAACGGTTAGTAATTTTATTTAAATTACTAAAAATAATTGTTTGATAAATATATATTTTTTTAACAATTACAAATTAAGTATTTGATAAAATTTTTTATTTAGCAATTACTAGCAAATAACGAGTAGAATCCAAACTGTTAAGTTCAAACCACTAGCAAATTGAAAAACCTATTTAAGATGACCTTTTGTATTAAATCACAAGGGGATTGAAATTTTTTAATTTTACTAATAAATTTATCCATTTTAGTTTTTTAATTTTTTACCATAATTTTTAATTAGGTATTATTTAATCAATTTTAACTTTATTTCTTGTCTATAATAACATTAAGTGATTATTGTACTTTATTTTTATATTAATTTATCATTTCTTCCGAAAGGCAAAGGATTTTATTAAGTGAGTATAAAAGATACTCAAACCGATGTACATTAATAAGCTCCTCTTGAAATGAAAAAACAAGTACAATATTGAGAAGCTCATTTACAAAATCTTGCAGCACCTGCAATTGAGGATCTAGTCATGAAAACAGAATTGTTCTTGCTTTCCCTTGTTCTTAACCCAAAGGAAAGCTTGAGCTTGAATTTGATTGAAAATCTATTAAATCAATTGATCCACCTCTAAAAAAATTATATCATTCCTGGTAATCCAGATGGTGCAGACAAGAGAAAACTAAATTGTAATTGAACCCAGCCGTTCACTACTTTTAGTGACTAAGGATTCATGTTGGAAGAAAGAATCCCAACATGAACTGGCAATGGCAGTAAAGAAACCCCACCATTTAAAGTACATTGCCAAGATTTTTGAAGTAACCGAACAGTGGAGAAAAAGATGTCTTCCATATTCCGACCACAAAGACTATAATCAACAGCCTTTATCTCCTTAATTAATTCCTTTTTCAACAAGTTAATTTTTAAGGGAATCCTGTCAAGTAGTAGTAATCAAGTGAACCCACAAACTTTACTTGGAATTAGGGGGTTCCAAATCTTCTCAAAAACTTGTTGGTGTGATGATGGTTGTTGTTGGACCAAAGTAATATATCCTGAGCTTGTAGAGTAATCACCCAATTTATTTGGTTCCCAGGTCCAGGTGTCTTCCCTCCCTTTGACTAGGTTGATCTACTTAAGCAGCCTTTTGAATTCTTGCAAAGATTCCTACTCTCAAGAGTGTAGAGCGAGTCTCTACGGAAGATTCCAAGATCATTTGTTGCCTTCCCATCTACCTATTTGGTTAACTGTGTTGTCTTTCCTTATAGAAAGCAAACACAATCTCGAAAAATCGTTAGCAAGCACTCTAGTGCTATTCCATGAATCCTTCCAAAACCCAACTTTCTCTCCAAGGAACATTAATTTATCATAAAAAATATATTAATTTAATAAAAAATTTACTAATTAGATGAAAA